ATTATTATTAATCTACCGTCTGACACTGTAAACTGTTTTTGATCACCAATAGTGATATGAATTTCTTCTGAAATTTCCATTTACCGGAAACAGTACAGATGCAGTGTCACGATTGAATGTCTAGGTTGCATTATATGTCATTGTTATCCTCATCAGCACAACAGGTCTGCGTATCTTACAATATTTTAAGTGTTTCTCTGTTGTTAACACTGCATAGTTGCTTAGAGTTGAGGCATGTTCAGCTTATATTTGATGACTACAGATTCCTGAATATGAGAATGTAATTTCTGTAGGATTCAGAAAACTATGCTCACTAGACATTACTGAGATTGTGGATCAATTTCTAAGCTATATATTTGCAATACCTCATTTAACGTAGACTTATTTAGTGTGAAATTGACGAGAGAATGATGTCTCAACAGGATGGGTGTTTCAGAGTTTATCTTGAAATTTGCGTGTAATCCTCTAATGCTGGACAACTTATGAGGCACATTTATGCATACGGCGTCAATACAAAGACCAGCTGTGGACTATAAATACTTTTATTTGTATGGGAATTATACTCAGTATTATTACTGATACTAATATATAAAATTATCTTTCATAACTTCATGCTGTGCTTCATATTTTAGGTATATGGAGGTTGTGGAATGTGAAATCAGTGGAAATGACCATCTGTCAAACTAACGCCAATACCGTTCATCAAAATTTTCTCTTGTAAATTAAGAAAATTTTTAATATACTCTTCATTTCTACTTCTCCTGAACTTCTTCAGTGCGTTGTTATACTACGAGCTTTCGTAATATGTGATTAATGCATGTTAAGCTTAGTTAGCCAAATGGAGATTCACTATAGTATTATGAGTCTGTTACTTAAATCATTCATAGGATTTCGCGTCTGTTTCTATACAATAGCACATTGTAAAAACTAGGTAGGATTTAGCAAGTTGAATAATAATTCTGTAATGTTCATTACGCTGAAGTCGCCTTATTTAGACAGTTGCAAGTCTGTATAATGCTAAACGCCAATACGTTGCACAAGTAAATGTAGTAAATTAGGGTTGATAGCTACTTCATTAATCAGTTAATATGCAGTAGCATCATCAAAATGGATAGATGGTGTGACACCTGGCAACTCCAATTTAATGTCGAAAAATGTGGCTGGCTCTGCATAGGTTGCAACAATTTAGTACTTGACCTGACAATTCAAGGCCATGCACTTCAACGACTGGAATCTGTAGTGGACCTAGGGCTGAAATATTCACATAACTTATCATTTTCTGAACATATCTCCAAACAAGTGTCAAAGTCACGCAGACTTATCGGCTTTCTACTCAGGAACTTCTACAGAAATGAGTCTAGAATTCTGTTGTACAAGGTTTGTGTGCGTCCTTCATTTGATTACTGTTCACTCATGTATAGTAGTATACGCATAGGGGACAAATTGAAAGTCGAGGGAGTTCAGAGGTACTTCACGTTAAAATTACTCGGAACTGAAAATGGTACGAACTACTCCACTAGATGTGATACCCTAGGACTAGAAACACTATGGCTAAGACGCCTGAGACTAAACTTGACACTTTACTATAAGCTTCTAAACCACTTAGTTTTTACCTCTACTAATGGCACTCGACTTTCAGATGACAATGGTTACAAACTAAGACACACTAAGGGTACAGTAGCTATCGAACAATGTAAAACAGCCACCAGGCAAAAGTTTTACTTGATTAGGTATGTACAGATATGGAATAAACTGCCAATGGAAATGCGTCAAGCAAGTACATTGGCCTCCTTCAAAAAGGTGCTTAATGACAAACTACAAGAGTTTGCAAACGATAGTAGTTCTAGTTCCTATCTGAGAGCCTCCGAAATTATAGGTCCATTTAATGTATAAGCTTAAATACTACACCTGTTGTTTTTTGCCTATATTTATAATTCTAGATAAAACATTAACGGTTAACATACGTATCCTCAAACAGACAAGAAATCTCGTTTGTAAAACTACTACCCAACACAATAAGTGGAATAAAATGGACATAAACCGACAACATGAAAAAGGTATAACTCACCACAACATCACATGGACAGATGAACGCTCGTTGGGCACCATATATCCCTCACCAACTGCAACCCACCTTTCCTTAGATAATGTGATGAACTTATATCCATAATGTTGCTGAGCAGTTAATATTCTCAACTCCTGTCGGAATAGCTGAAATTCATAAACCTTCCTCACGCTAAGAAAATACCCGTAAGCAGTAGAAACCCATTAATTAATGCGTCCGAAGCTTATGTACTTACTCCCAACAATGACATTTCAGATCAAATGAGATAAACACATCACTGATTTCAAAATAACACATCAATGAACTATAATTCGAGGACTCTGCACACAACAAAGTTATGTACGAATATTTACTTCAAGCTTTATTATTTTCCCAAGTCCTTATAATCCATCCATCAAAGACCTGGTTTTTTTGTTAATGCGAAGACAATACTCCTGTATTTCCTGTTGTGTTGCACTCAATGACAATCTAGCAGATTTTTCCAACTTTGCACAGAAATGATTGTATATAAGTGAAAAGGCTGTTTTATACTACTGGGATTAACATTTATCAAGGGTATGTATAATCTCCAGCGAACATGTAAAGCATATCTTGCTACTGCCTGTAAATTGTGATTGAATTATACGGTTCTATTTCTGTAACAATTTGATGATGCCTGTAAACTGGCGTCCCTCATATACCGTACCATGAGAATAAACTTATTTATTTATATAAATAGACTGTCTACTTGGCGGCGAGCTAAGAAACAATTTTTATTTATTTCTGATATGGTGTTGAGTCATGTGATGTTATCTAATATCCATCATTTCTATGATCAATAACTGCAGCGTTTGAACATCTACTTTGTTAAGCATGCCGATGATCTAACTATTTCAGTGTCTGTCAGCTCCCAGCTAGACAGTACCAAAATGAACAGCTTTCTATAAGGAATTAGCAGATGGTCTTCATCTAACGGCCTTAATTTCAGTTGTAGGCGTAAAAGAAAGTTAAATGAAGCTGCTAATCCCCATTAACGTTGTATAGTTGATGATAGTGATATAGAAATCAAGTCTGAAGTCAAGTACCTTGGATTAATTCTTTCTTCTGACCAATCCTGGTCTTCCCATTGTCTTAGCGATTTCTAAAATAATATTTCGTCTGACTGTTCACACTAAGAAGTTAAGGCACTCCAGCATAACTTATCCCATCCTCTTACAGTTTGTCAGTTCGTGCATCTTACCTATACTTGACCTGTTCTTCTTGCTTTAATCATGACAGTACCGTGTTTCGCAGAACTCATCACACAGCGTACCAGCCTTAAATGTACACCACATGCAGGTATAATGCTTACGAGCTAGATATGCAAATCAAAGTACATTCATTATTTATAAGACTAACTAGAGCTACGATTTAACCAGCTATACAACGTTCAATATATTTAGACACAATTAACCTACGCTGCTTACTTCTATGACGTATTACCTAAAGCTACGTAGTTACCTTAAAGTGGTTTTTGCTCCCATAGCTACTACCTCAATGAGCAACTTAACGTTGCCTTTGAATTTCAAAGTAAAAGCGGACATCCTGAGAACCTTCTTGGTAAAAAGATCGTCTCCTAGTCGAAAAAAATGAATATATCCTAATCTCCACGAAAGTGTTTAGAGGTATTCATCCTATCACCTCAAATGACTCACTATTTGCAGTCACTTAAAAAGGAAGAATAAATCTACCGAGAAGACAGTGCGCTTATGATTTCTATATATCATAATGTACCATGAGGGAAAACCTATATCCATAGGGTTATAACAGTTAGAAGCGCGATATTAATCCGAAACAAGACGACTACGATTCTCAATCACAGAACATCCTACTTTGCTATCTAATCTTCTAATCGTATTAACAGATGTTTCGCCAAGAAAAAGAAAACCAATGGTTTTGGGAAAATTTATTTAGTTTTCTTAAAGATCATGGTCATCCGTATTTATAGCCATGGAGAAATCACAAACATCCAAAAATAGGAATTTAATTATTTGAAATGAAACAAGCAATCTGTATTCAGCCAATATTTTCACCCCGATTAATGATCAGCTTGTTGTAACCACCGATTGTAGACCACAACCCGAAACGTTATTCTTGCCAATTGAAGTCTTACCTTTAACTGGAATAGTTCGTACACTCACCAGATCACTATGTTATCCACTTTTTAATTCGTTTTGCAACACACTGAATGGCTGTTAACACTGGCTTTGTTACAGGCGGTCCTAGTTCATGCATTTGGATCTAGTACACTGGGCATTATCAAACATAGGTTACACTTTCCATTTAGGGGTTTCTAATTGCTTTCAGTTCCAAAACTACTTACGGGCACGACAGATTCACACTTCTCACGTGGCTCAACCTTGTTTGATTTACATTTTCTGACAATATATCTGATTCTTTAACTGATAATATACACTGATGGTAAAATCAGCTTCTCGAAAAGCTTTTTTAACTTCAAACCACGTTCTGAAATCTCCAGGTTTAATATGCTCTTTGAAGAGCTTGCCAATATCAGCCCTGATCTTATTCTCCTCACCGGATTGACTCGTAGATTGCTGCATGTTGTAAAAATGAATGTGAAAGACATTGCTTTTTTCAGATTTCTACATATTAAGTAGCCAATTGAGCCAGAAGCAATAACGGCAGCCATCAAATGAACTAAAAACAACAGCTTTTGTCAGCTAAACATGTTCACGTGCATATTTTACAAAACTTCTACACAGCACTATTTCATTGATAGCTGGAAAACGACTAAAACACTGAAACCACACATAAATGCAAGGTATGTAACAATTATAATGGAATGAATGCACCGACCTGGTGTTAAAAACTCTCGAAACCAACGAAATAACTAATATTAACAGCAACTGACAGAAAAATGAGTGGAAAAGCAACATTTCTTATAAAGCACAAATCCTGCACGGTATGACCTTGAACTCCAGTGGGAATTTTGGTTTCACGTAGTAGTAAGTGGTGAATTAACAGTTTAACTGGTTTGGTGACTAAAAATGCGTTACTTTTTTCCTCCTAAAAGCTAAATTTGGTTTATGAATCTTGTTGGCATCAAGAAAACCTGAAGAATACAGCTGTATTTAATTCTGAACATGACGAACGGTTAAGTGATCCAGTATTACTGATGACCTTGAAGTTACTATTTACTCTAAGGAGGACATATTCAACTAAGAAAATGCTATATTCATACAGATATATGATAAAGCTTGTGAAATTACTTGTAGTAGATTTGTTACACAGAAATGTTCGAAGATATATGTTTTTCACTAATCTGATGTGTACAACTAATTAAGGATATCGATAAAATGATGCAAGCCTATAGAATTTCTGAACAATGGATTATTTTAATACGGAGATAGTTTTATTTGTTGCATAGATTAGAATGAGGTCGAATTTCAGTCCCGTCCCTCTGGAACTATAATTCCGCAACCATAATATGATATGTTAGTTTGTTCTTCTTAGGAACACAGTTGCCTTGAAGCGTATTCACTGTTCTTTTGTACGGCTAAAGTGTCTATTAGGATCCTTTTTCTCTTTTGATGCATATGACTTGCATGAGATGGCATATGCAGTAACTTGTAATATAGGAGTTTCGATTATGCTTGAAAGCCAAGTTCCGTGGTGATTACCCATTCGAAGAGTCTCAATCAAGTCTTTTAGTTCCTTTTCCATTTTTATCATTGTCATATATTTCTACGTATGTGAATTTTTGACAGGAGAGACAACAGAAACCTTTCTGTGGGTGGATTTTACATACGAATTTCTTTTGGGACATGACAATTTCTGAAAAATTGACTATGTCCACTTTCTGTCAACGTTAATATGAAGTATACGGCCTATGTGATTTTAAACTTATTATGCTACTAGTGTTTTTGGTGTTGTGTCGAATAGCGTGACTTGTATCAGTAATGTTATGGCATAGATGTGGCTTAATCAAATTTCCATTCGTATACATTTACGAAGAAACTTATATCCCAGTTTCTACCATGGATACATGACCGAATTGTTTGTCAACTCATTTTTTGTCAAACATCTTTCTGTTGAAGGGAAGTAAATTCCCCCAGTAGTTTTAAAAACTAGATGCTGTCATCTGTAGATTGTGTATATCCTTGTATCCAATGTCTTTTTAGAAAAACATGCATATTTTTATTTCTCATCAGTAAACTTCAAAAAGTATCCTTGTAGATATTCTTAAACCATAGATGTAGTTAAGATACACTTCTAATGAATTTGCAGTGATTGGCAAGGAATCAAAACGGAACACTACAGAAGTAGCTCGGTTCTGGTTCTTGTGCTATGAAATGACAAACAAAAGGTGATGTAAATGGAATATTAGATACATTGCACAATGAAACAATTTTATTTACTGTGTGATATTTCGAAGACCATTGTCGTTAATCATATCAGTTGTAACTACACGAGTGTTAAATCATTTCGCTTCCAGTGCTAGAACAGAAGTGATTCAGTGTCTGCCCCGGATATTCGAAAAGTTTTACTGGCCTGATGACGACTAAGAAGAGATACTATAAAATGGCAGTTTCGAAATTGTGTAATTACAACTGATATGGTTACAGACAATTGTGTTTGAGACATTCCCCGGTAAATAATACTGTTTCATTGTATGATATATCTAATAAACAAATTAATATGCACATGAAGGCCCAGTAAGTAAGCATGCATGTAGGAGAATAATATGATGGAAATTATCAATAAGTTTAGGAAATGACAATGAGCATGTACTCTAAGCCATCGCAAAGTGTTTTAAGTTACATTTAAATGAGCCCCTAACCATTAATTTTAGCATCTAACGGACTTCATTAAGGCAGCCTACGCCTCTCTACCTGGCCTGGACCAGCACTTACAGACTTCCTAGATTGGTGTTATATTTTGGTTCTAACTTGCCTAATATTACTAAACATAATCACATTCATAAAATATTACTCATGGAGGGCTGCATTGGGTTGGATGTTTAATCTAAATGTTTATAAAATGAAATGCTCATACTGTGTACATAAAATAAGGTTTTTGTAGAGCAAATACCGGATAAAAGTCGATAAAGCTCGGAGGTATGTAAGAACCTTTATCTCTCTATTGGTCTAAGTACTGTATCATCAGGTTACAATCACGGTAATCAACATCCTTTTCTCTACATGTTCGAATCTCAATGGTTTTCTAGCTGATATCAATCAGTGACCAAACCTGAAACAGTTCAAATCCTTCCAAACAAACCCTTAAAATAAGGAGACACGTGAAGAAAATTTGAATCAGAATTATAGTAAATTATTATATTGAATTACTAACGGTTTTGTAGATTATGCCAGTAGTTTTTAGTAGTTTTACATCTTTATTATTAACCGTCGCTGTTAGAGTATTCTTCACTGCAAAATTTTCAGTTTTCATCATTTCAAAACACTGGGAACTTGGGAATTCAAACAGTGCTTTATAAGTGCAGAAAAATACAGTGGTAAAGTACTGCTTTTGCGGTCCTTAATAGCTTGGAAATAGGAGCATAAATGCAACCAGTGAACCAGTGATATCTTGCGAAACATGTGGTATTCCACTATATTATTGCAGTTGCTAGTTGGTTGATTCATATTTCTAGGGTGTTAGTCGTTAGTTATTGCATTATTTTTATGTTGTACACTAAAATAATCGCCTGTAAGTTGGCTAACAAGATTGAGTGTGGCTGTCGTACTGCTCATCGCATACTAAATTTTGTTGGTGAATAGACTGAAAGTAGCACGATAGTATTCACCAGTTCTTTCTGCCAATGTAAATTTCTTACTAGTACTGTTGTGCCATTTAATGTATTTTAAAAATGTTATTTATTTGACTGCAATTTTCCTCCATTTACTTCTGTAATTTGTAGGAATCAATTAGTTTTCAAGGCATGGTTGAGGTTTACAAACTCAGATGTGCATTGTCTGGACACAAAAGTGATGTCCGCGCCATATGTTGTCCATCAGAGAGTAAAGTCGTTTCTGCTTCCAGAGATTTTACTGCAAGGACGTGGTGTATTTCAAAGTTAGTTATCTCATATTCATTATCTTCCAATGGTTGATTTTTTCCACCCGAATTTGTTTTCTAAATTAGTGTTTCATTCAGACTGCTAACCAAACATTAGTTGTTTTCTCGACTTTTTTCTGATTGGTAGCAGTTAAAGTTGAATGAGTGGGTTTTTTTGGTGCAGTAGATGCAAGTAGATATAACTTCAACTCATCTCACTTAAAGTTTAATTTTACTTTTACTAATTCGAAACGAAAAATCCCTTAATGTCAACTGTATTTGAATTCATTTGTTTTGGTTTCATTATAAAACGATCTCGTATTATGCAAATATGTTCCTTCTTTCTTTGTTCAAAATTCGTTATGTGTATTTATTGTATTTATGTATCCTACCAACCACCTCAAATTCCTCGTGGTGTTTTTGATAGAAAATGATTGTGTTTACCTTTTGAAGAGATTCGAATTTTCACAGTATATCAGAAAGATTCGTAGTCGGCATTCATGTTTCTTGCTGTGAGCATTATGCTGACTTTTCTTTCATCTCTAATGCTTTTTACTTTTTGTCAGAAGAGTCACTCGTGTCGCTTCTTGTTATTGAATATCTTAAGTGTCTAGTTCTTGGTTTCCAATCACTGGATATCAGGTTAAAACTATGGCGTAATCAGGCCCGGGAAATCGAGTGATATCGCAAACCTCATATTGTGTTACATATAGTCCAAGACATTCATTCAAACATTGGAATTCGTTACCGTTCCTGTTTACTTTCATGAAATTTCACTACTGTGTCAATAACATTGCTTGAGTTAGATCAAGAGGGCATGTCGGTACAACTAATATTCTGATAAGCAAGTTGGGAATAAATGCTTATGGAAATAATGTATATGGAGCGACATATTTCGAACATTCTGATCACACACATACTCGTTATACACATTTGTGTAAAGGTACAGAGAACTTGACATGTATTTCCAGGGGCACTTACGTTGCATATGTAACCACACATACATCTAAGTTGATAAACGCAATGGAATGCGGTAACATCGTTCGAACTCTGTGTGAGAGTATATAGGACATTACAAGCTTCGTTTCCCCTTTAAATACGGGCTTGGCGGCGACAGAATCTGATTGAAATTATCTTAAATTTTGTAATCATTTGGGACATCTGATTCGGCCTGCAGAATTTCTGTGTTTACTATTATTTGCAATATTTTTCAGCTAGATTCTTTCATTAAAAACTTGTATGACTTTGTTCAATTTCGATGCTCTCAGAATTTCTGTGAATATTGGTTTTAATGTATATCATCTCATATAGGTTTTTTGTTACTTATCCACTGAGTTAGATGATATAATCTTTCGAATTTATACTGGGATTCTTATTTCACTCATATCCTATAATCATATGATGAACATTCAGCCTGATACTTCGTTGTTTGCTTACTGATAGACTATAGAAGCGTGTCGTGCAATTTTTTCCTCAAGATTGTAATATAATGCGACAGATGTGCGTTTTCGAAAGTCATACCAACAGATGATACAAAATGAATTGATTGGCGCTACTTTTTGGCCACTAAAAGCTGAATATAAATTACTAATAAATTAATAAACTTTCAAGAGTTGGTTTGTAGGGATTAGATTTTTATTTCGAGTTCTACCACGGATTCATATCAGTTAAAAAACCGTTGAAAAACAGGGAGCACTAGCCAGCTGTTTCATCCTAGTTTGAGAATCATCGGCGGTACTCAGTCACCCCAGTGGGTGGGTGAAAATTAATCTGATGCTCGCTAGTAACTTGCTACAGGACTGAGTTTCCTGGAATTATAGTGAGAAGTCATGACCAGTGAGGTTCATCCAGTCAAGTGGGAGGATGGATTCTCCGCCTATGACACTGGTTGGTGGTCGTGCTAAATCACAAATTGGTAGAAGTTAGAATTCATGCGCCATTGAATCGGGTTCCAGTGGCTGAATGGTATACGAGCTTGCCTTGTAGCCGGGAGGTCCTGGGTTGGAACCCGTGTGGTGGGTGCCTACTGCCGATGATTCCCATACTAGGATGAAACAGCTGTCCAGTACTCCCAGCTGGTTTTCAATGGTTCTCTAACTGATATAAATCCGTGGTCAAACTCAAAAGAAAAATTAATAAACTTTTAATACCAAATTACACTCCAAAATGTGAAGAGCTGTTTGTTTATATACTGTACATCGTATTCTTACAACAAAATGTAGAAATTATAGACTATAAAACCGTGTAAACTAATCTTTCTGAACTTCTTGAATATGTCATTTTCGTTTGGTCATTATTTTTTGTTCAATAGAGAAAGCTGTGATGGCTGTGAAAGTTCAGTTCTTCTTGGGCACACAAATTATGTATCAGCTGTATGTTGTCAAGAGTTAGATGGTGAATACCGTATCCTTACAGGATCTCATGATAAGCTGATAAGAGGTTATAATTTTGAACTTGCAGAACCTCTTTTCGCATTAGAAGGGCATGAAGATGCGGGTATGTAAAGCCTATTTATAGGTTACTAATTGATTTATTCGAATAGTGTGTACTTTGGCTACTGGACGTCATAAAACCATAATTAGTGGTTCCTGGGATAAGTCTATCAAAATCTGGCAAGAAGGGAAATGTATTGCTACTATTTCAGGTGAGTTCCAGTAGTAGTCTTCTTGTAATTTTTGTAAAAATTGAAATTGAAATGATATTGCTATCAATCATGAAAAAATATTTATGTTAATATGTAGTTAACGAATCCAAAGACGTGTGTTTTATCTCGTATTACACATTATGTTCGTCGTCTTATCTTCATTCTGATTGCTCTCTACTTGGTATGCACATGATGTAGTAGTTAGAACCACGACGTGGTAATTCTTTTTGTTTGTGTTAATATCATCTATCTCTACTTTATTGACGCCTGTATTTCAACTTTGAAGTGAATTGTTCCTACATATTTTCAGCTTGCCCTGTCGGTTGTACAAATTTAAATTAGCTTTGTAAAGGTACAGCTAGCTAGATGCCTTTCTCTTCATATTCTGAACAATAATTCAAACTGTGTCAAATGATGTTAGCCTCCAGCTGTCGAACTTTGGTACCTGAGCTTTTTTTTATACCTACAGTCAAGTTGGTGAAGATGGAGGACATTTCAGTGTGTAGAAGATTAGAAACGTATCTTTGTCTAATTGTGTGGGGCATTTGTCTTACTCACCATATAAGGTGAAGTATTGATTGATGTCTGATCAGTCTACCTTCAAACTGTAGTGGTTCAAGCGGCATTTACCCAGGTCGTTGATACCTAGTATCCTACTGTAGTTAATATATTACACTTACCAAGCCTTGATGAGCTGGTTATCGAAATGGGAATATTGATTGGTTAACTGAATAATTATTTGTTACTAGCCTCAATTCTACCTGTTCCTAAGGCGAAGTTGTGATATGGGTTTTAAATTCACTTAATTGGGCTATTTTTTTGGCCTTTGTCGACTACTTCTACCTGAACATTCGTTTGTCTAATTATGCTGTTTTCCACCATTATTGTTACCGCAGATCGCTCCACTTTTAGATCTTTGTTATTGATAGAATCATTATTATTACTGTTATTATTATAACTAATTGCACAATTCATATGCACAATTTTATCATCTTATTAGCAAATCACCGTGATTGGTTTGTATCTTCCTACTTATTTGTACAGTTGTGTATATTAGAGTTGAGCCTGATGAGATGTAATTGGAGACAATATTTTTCTCTTAAATGCGTTCTAGTCGCTTCACCGGCAGGTCGTGGTTATTACTACACATCGTGTTAAATGCTGTAATCGGTAGATGTTGATTTTCCTATGAAAGCGAAGTCGATTGACGGTAGTATTACTTATTCAATCACACTTATTGTTTTGTCTTTTTTAGGTCATGAAGCGGCAGTCTGGTGCGTGCTCGTTATGTCGGCAGTAAATATCACCGGTAATGTTGACGATATGGTTATCATTAGTGGTTCGGCTGATAGAACTGTACGTGTATGGTGTATACGCGGTGTTGGTCAAGATGCAAATCCTCCCGAGAGTATTCTTCTAAATACTTTAAAGGAGCATAAGGATTGTGTACGTGCCTTGGCATGTATAGATGATTCACGATTTTTATCGGCAAGCAATGATGCCAGCATAAGAGCTTGGAATGCTTCCACAGGCGTATGTATAGCTGAATTTTATGGGCATACGAACTTTATATATGGATTGGCTACGTTACCTAATTTTTCAAAATTCGTTTCTTGTGGTGAAGACAGAAGTGTTCGTGTTTGGCCTATACCTCCTCCAACTGAATGTGTCCAGGCACAACACTTCAGTTGCCTTCAAACTATTTCATTGCCTTGTCAATCTGCATGGTGTGTGACTTTGGTACCAAATGGTGATATTGTTGTTGGAGGAAGGTAATTATCTTGTTTTTCTCAGTTTGTTCCCTATCTTTTAAAATTCAGGCATTAATTAACAGTGTAGCATATTCCAGTTGACTGCATGGTGCATCTTGTGCACGTAAGGTGACCATAGTTTCCCAATTAAATTCAACAAATCTTTAGTTATGATTGATGTATATATCATGATATGTGACTGACTAATTTATCCAATTAAAACTCTCTGAAGCAGTTCATAGTCTTAAGTTGCAAGACGGGGGAAATCAAAATGTGCGACAAAATTAACGGTATAATATGATGTCATTTTCGAACTTGGTGTCATTTTGGTCTACAGGTTCTTATCAACTATAGACTACCTGAAATCATGCGAATTTGCAGATATCTTCCGTGTTGTGCTACTTCTGCCCACCCTGTTGTGTTTCTTTTTCTTCTTTTCGTGTCTCCCGTGTTTTGCTGCATTGCTGAATCATTTGCTGTCTTTGATGTCAAATCTCCCTCCTTTCTATTTGATATTTTTTATGCTGATGAACGTCTCTTTATATATTACTGATAAATCTTTTCAGTAGCACACGCCACAACATGTTTCCTCCTTGTACTTATATGTCGAGTGACGAATAACTGCCATCCGTGAAAAAACACCATATATATATGCGCAGTAATAATGTTTCTGTGCCGATAAACATTTTCTCCGTGTGTATCGGTAAAATGACTTACGCTCTACTTTTAAAATTTGTTTTCTTTCAGTGATGCGATGGTTCGTATTTTTTCATGTGATCCAAAAAGACAAGCTTCCCAGGATGTACTAAAGTTATACGAGACAGAATTAGCCAATTTCAAAATCACACTTCCTAACTCGGTAGGAACTGGAGACTTAGATTTGAACAAGTTACCGGGAATTGATGCTTTAACAAGGCCAGGTAAGCTGTACATATTTTCTGATGCTTACTGAGAACCACTTGTATAAATTTTTGGTTACATTTACGAATATGGTGGTATTAGTAATTGAAAAATCAGAATGAAAAAATTTAAATAAGATTTGTGATATGAAAAAACGTAGAAATACATAGCTTTCAAGATTTTAAGAAAATTCAGACTTTGATGATATAAGATGGTTGGAGGCAATCGGCAGGAAGCCTTGAACCTGGGTTTTGTGCTAGTTGGCACTCACCAGTTAGCAAGGCGTATGTGCAACCTTGAAGGAACTCATGTCCCTTCTGCAGCACTGGATGACGCGGGTCCGAATCTCTGGAGGGACATTAGTTTCTTCAAGGTTGCAGATACGCCTTGCTGACTGGTGAGTGCCAACTAGCACGAAACCTAGGTCGAAGGCTTCCTGCCGATTGCCTCTAACCATCTTATATCATCAAATCAATGTGCACCGTGATGGTGAGCCACCTAGAATGATGACCACATTGCAAACCTGACTGATAGAATTCAGTCTTCATCAAAAAAAGGACTAGACACATCACACTAGTTACTAGTGTCCAATCATAATTCAGACTTTATTGCATAATTAATGCGGTAGAATATAATGCTTACTTAATAGAGTTCATAGTGATATAAATGTTTGTTTAAGTCCAATTATCTGGAGCAAACCTGTCACATACTGGACTTAAAGGGTTATTGATACTACCCAGTTGACTAGATTGAAGTAGGTGGAACGGAACTCGAACCCGTGAAACACTGACTGAAAACCGAGTGCTAAAGCCAATGAGCCACGTCTCCATTTAAAAAATGTTCTAGTGATCACAGCATCCCCCCATGTGTTAAGGTCTACTCGTCGTAGATTTAAGGTGAAGTCAGAGGGCTTAGAACAACTCTCTAAACCACTTTCCTACATCCTGTGATATATCGTTATATGGATGATAATCATATTAAAGTGAGCTTGTCGACTCTACTTATAACAGGATAACTGTATTTTTCATTTATGTAACTCTGTAGCCTATAATTTAGGTCCAAATTTTTAGGAGCGATTTCCCGATGTAATCAATTGGATCTGAGGTTTTTTTCACACCTCACATAGGCAGTTGGTTTTTTTAATTAATGGTTAGCGTTGCAAGTGTATTTGAGAGTTGTTGATTTACCAGCTTGTCTACCTGTGAGGTCACTTTAATGACAATAGGACTTTTAATAATGAGGACTAGAATGAATCTGAACAGCTTCCTATTATTCGTTTTGAACACTAAACCTTTGAATTTTTCGCAAATATTCTGCAGTTTTTTGGTGTATGTGACTGATGCAGACTGCTATGCTTGTTGGCTATTGTGCCGAATCGATGGATGTCATGAAGTTGCAAGAAGCTGCTCGGGAAAACGTCGTTTGTCAGTGGGTCGTTCCGCTTAGCATGATCAGTGTAGAACTGCGTACAGATATTAAGCAGTTGAAATGAAATCACAGGTAAAAAGGGATAATAATACAATTTTTGACCAACGAGTTTTAGAAAAATAATTTGGTGAATATTGGTCATTTTACATTTGAATAGATGAACCTCTGAAACGATTTATCTGCGAAACGTAGACACTTATTCCATGGATTTAGTTGTTTGTAAAACCCACACCTGATTGCATACGGGTTGCAGGATATAATTCGCCAACATATTTGCTTGTCCGCAGAGTTAATATGAACCATACAAAGTCTTAGCTTTATTGTAGTTAAACACAGGTAAGTCGTCCTAAAAATTGATCTGTTTCTTGAATACAAGAGCAGTACAGTTGTATAACAGAAATAAATACAGAACAGTTTTCCCTAAACCAAGAGTAGAAATACACCGAGCGGTGTCAACGTGTTAAATGTTTGATAAGTTATATTTACATGTTAGTAAAAGACCAAAACGTGCGTCGCTGGCATAGCGGTTAGGACGCTCACCGACCATGCACATGTTCCGGGGTTCGATCCCCGGCCGACGCACTCCTTTACCTCACTCAGCCAGAAGTAAAGCTGGTGAAGAGGAAAGGTTGGGCATGAGGCTAGCAACCCCATCCTATAATAATAAACACTGCAACAGAAACTTCAAGCCTCTAGCTTGAAGTCCTATGTTCCACTGGCAATGTGAAGGAAAAATAAAAAAAGAGACCAAAAATGGTAATAAAAGTAGTAATGGTAATAATGGCTTTATTCCAAACCTTACATAGATGTTCAAGTATTGGTTTGCAGTGATTTGATTCGATTGGTTTCACGATTTCATCATGAGCTGACATCGGTTAGAGAACCATTGGGCAGCTGTTTCTTCCTAGTATGTGACTATTCAGCAGTACCCACCCACAGGGATTCGAACGCACGACATTCAGGTTACAAGGCGAGCTAGCTCATAGACCATTAAGCCGCTGAGACCCGATCCAATGACACATGAATTCCAGCCTCTGTCAATTGACGATATTGCGCGACCACTGGCTAATGTCATCGGGGAGTATCTGTTATCACACCCGACTTGCGTCCTAGACTAGGACGAAACATTTATCCAGTACTCCCGGGTTTTCCAGTGGTTATCTAAGTGATGTCAGCTCATGATGAAATCCTGTAACCAATACATAGATAATTAGCCCTAAGCGGTGGGCGGTTTGCATAAGGATAACTTACAATCATGGTTGGCAGGATAGAAGGGCTATCATGCTATCATGCCATTGAAGCTTTGGCAAGGATGATGAAGAGTCGTCACTTCTCTTCTTAATTACACTTTTTGTTTTAATTGTTTGTATTCTCTTTCTGGCTGGTGCAATAGTGAAGGTTTATAGTGTGAAGTAAGCACTGAAGACATGTTGTCTAGAAGGATAATAGGAGCTTCGTTGTTCCACCACCCACCCCCAGAGGACACGACACTAGAAACTTCCACATGAGCTACAAACCATCTCAATATATATTCAATGCAAATAACTGTTGATAGACAATCCGTTAAGTGGTCCAGTTGTTAGTGTGTAATGCTACACAAACACTCGGTTGGACCAAATGATAGAGCCAAAATTGACCTGTTAAATGTGGTACTAGGTAACGTATTTGCATAGCAGCTATTTAGTGAACTAATACTGATGTTTCAAATAGTGATGAACAGCAGAATGGAATGAAAATCAATATAAACGTAGGAATCGTTTGATTTCCCTTTATCTGTTAATCAAATATCAAAGCTCAGTGAATACCAAACCATCCCAATCCTCATTCTGGGCTAAAAAAGATTGCGTAAAAACCTTAGTGGTAAAACAGAGCAGCACAAAAGTAACATTAGCAAGGATAATATTATGACGCAGTTTATTTCTTGTAGTAAAATTAATTAGCTGTAGGGACTTGATCTTACCGCTTTTCATCATGATCGTCGTTTCACAGTTTTCCCAAGAACTGATGTGTTACTTGATGTTCAAATCTACTTAATTAGATGGTTGTTTTAAGTGACCACTTCCTGAATTTTCGACTTGAAGTTCAGCAAACAAGGTATTGTAGAAGAAATATCAGAAGCTGTATTCCAATCTTTTCGGATGTCCTAGATGGGTTCATCATCATTCATTCCCTTTACGTTTTACAGTGCTTGAGCCTTCTTGTTGTGAAATTAGGGCTTTTCAAATCCCTTGCTTAGAAACTCATTTTCCAGTAGTCTGATAATAAGTGCTGGATGTGTGTATTCACTCTTTCCCCCTCTGTGTAGACAGTAAATAGGATTCTCTTGCAAAGATAGTTTTTACATGCATCACAATATTGATTTGTCTTATGGAGATAGGCTCAATACGTTATCGTGGTTCACTGCTGTTAATACTTTAAATTTGGTATTCTAGGAAAGTCAGAAGGACAAGTGATGGTGATTAATGACAATGGACGTTCTGTTTGCTATCAGTGGTCCTCACACGAAATTCGCTGGATTGAAGTTGGGGATGTTGTAGGAAGCCAGCCGTCCAATCGTCAAGTATACGAAGGAAAGGTAAATTACCACTAACTGTTTTCTTATCAGTTGTCAGTAGTAGATATTACTTCATGATACTTCAGTTCATAGCAAAACGTACTGTCTAATGAAACTGAATTAACTAAGAAGGTACACAAAGATATAAGAATAAAACTTGTGCACTGTGGTAGAGTATAGTTCGATTACGGGTAAAATTTATTTTGATAAAGTTTCACAGTGTTATACAGTAGCAATATTTACTGATGACCACGTTTCGAGCACAATTTATTACTGCTCATAATCATATCAGGGTATTCACACAACTTCCTAATTTCGTTTATATAATTCCATTATCTACCATCGCTTGATTTGATTGGTAGTAGTACTTTCCATATTTCCGGTATGAGTGATGAGTCATTCCTATTGCACGTGTTGTCTTGGGTGTAGACTCGATGAACAAGGATTCAGTAATCAACCTCTCTCGCTCTCCACCAACCAAGATTACTTCTTAGAGTTTTAACCCTCTCCCACCATGCTACTGTGTGGTTGTGTGTTAATGCATGCAGTGCGATTGGTGAGCTTTTTTTTTAAATTACTTATCTTCACGGGGTCAACCATTCTCACCTTAGCTAAATTCTTATGTTCCGACAATCTGATTACCCCGCGACCTACTAGTTTGACCTATGTAGTTGACCTGACTCACAGTCATTGCAGGGTATTTTGTAAATTATACTATTTTGTCTAATTGGGTCAACTGGGTCCTTTAACCTACAGAGCTTGTCCCTAAGTGAGTTTGTAGGTTTAAATGCCACCCTAATTCCTGCTTTATTTAAAATCCTACGTAGGTTCTCAGATGTCCCCTCTTTATATGGTATAACAGTAGATGACTTATATTCTCCCTTATTTATGTTATTATTACTAGTTTCACAATTATTTTTATTTTGGCCTTTTTCAATCTTCCTAATGAATTTTAAAGGATAGTTATTTAACACCAACGCCTCTTCTATCTGTTTTATTTCATCATTTAGGTCTGTTTTTGTGCTACTTAATGCCATTGCTCAGTTTGTTAAACACTTAACTAAGCCTGCCTTAACAGTTAAAGGATGAGATGAATTAAAGTCTAAATATCTATTAGAATGCGTTGGTTTTCTATAAACACTAGTGCGTAGTTTGCCTTCTTCTATTCGTTTTATTTTACAATCTAACATAGCTAATTCTCCTTGTTCATTTTCGGTTTCAAATGTGAATTTTATTCCCTCAACTATTGAGTTTATATGTGTTACGAAGCTAGAGATGTGTTCTGTTTTTAACACTGTGAAAGTGTCATCCACATATCTCCACCATATTTTTGGAGTAGGATTAAACGTATTAAGAGCCATATTTTCCCAGCTATCCATAAATATATCTGCTACGATAGGGGATATTGGTGATCCCATTGCTACACCTTCAGTTTGTCTATATATTTTGCCTTGGAATTTAAAGATAGTAGATGTGAGGCATAGCTGAATTCCTAAAATAATTTCTTCAATGGACAACTTTGTCCTGTGATTGAGTTCAGAATCTGCAGTTAGTTCTTATTTAACTGCTTCTAAGGCCATATTGATTGTTATGTTAGTATAAAGACTGGTTATATCAAAACTAACCATTGTTTCATCATTCTCTAGTTGAATGTCATTTAGTTTATTTTTCATCTCATATGAATTAGTTTGAACGATTTCTAATGGGGCATAATATTAGAGCTAAGTGTTTTGATAACTCATAAGTAGGGGTATTCCTAAAATCTACTATTGGTCGTGTGGGGTAACCTGGCTTATGTATTTTAATAGTGCCATACATTCTACTAGCTTTATTAGTTTTACGCATTAAATTGGACCATTTAGACTCACCCGGTGACGGCTTCATTCTGCATATTAATCAAGATACACAAACTCATGACTATAATTATGCTAGATAATACTTCCGTTCCTTCCTTATTATTCAGTATTCATGAATGGCATTCAGTTTCATAGTATGCTAATGGTTATTAAGCTAAAATATTTCCTGAATACTTGACGAATGCTAACTGACATCAGTTAGAGATCCACTGGAAAACGTGGTACGTTTGGTAACTGTTGCGTTCTAGTTTGGGAATCTAGGACCTTTTGATTATGAGGCAATCACATTGCCATTTATCCACTCAGTTGTGGCATAAATCGTGAAGCGTCAGTTTACGAGATAGCGCTACTACCAACCAGTCACACCAGTGAGTTTCTGTCGCTACACTTGACATTTTCGAAGTTTCAAATTAAAACTTCGGAAAGTTCATCTCTCTATGATCGTCACTAATATGCAGTGAAATTACATTCACATAATGGGCTTACTTACTTTAAATCCTCACATGCCTAACGTGTGGACTTTTTAAAATTATTTTCTTCATGTTTTTCTATTCAAGGAGTACGATTTCGTATTCACTGTTGACATAGATGAAAGCATGCCAGCGCTTAAACTACCATACAATCGTACCGAAGATCCATGGTTTGCGGCTCATTCTTTTATTCAAAGAAATGACTTACCTGCTGGTTATCTGGATACTGTTGCTAATTTCATCATTCAAAATGCAGGACCACAGGTTGGTTCAGGTGTTGCTAGTGATTCATCATACTGCGATCCTTTCACCGGAGCACATCGATATATCCCTCAAAATCCATCGGCAGACAAAACATCTGTGATAAACACTACTTCATCACCCTCAATACCATGTTTTCCGTCAGAAACGTTTATACCTATTAAAGCAATCAGTCTCGGTCCATTAATGAGTAAGCGAAGTTTTCGGATGTGTAAATTTTGCTTTTCATAAGGTATTGGTGTTTCTATACATCTACTTGTCAATTTTTTCAATTCTTATGGAATATATTTCTTCTGTTTTTGCATTCATTTTCGTTTCGAACGAAACATGGAGCTTTAACGGCAAAGTTTAACTATAATGGCCAAATTAATATATGTGTAATAGCCACTGTGGCCTTGAACAGCCAATCAGAACTCAGATGCAGAAGAGCCGCATAGTCGTTGAAAAATACACTAAAAAAATATTGCAAACTTGATAATACACTGTATAGTTGTAGCTTATGTGTTGAATGAATGTCTCCCAGTCAAAACACAAAGGATCTATCAAGAAATCGTACCATGCACGATATACTCATTCATGCAGGTGACTGTAGGTCATGGTACTTTGAGATCCATTGGTATTTCTGCCATTATTCTCCAACCTACTCCTAACTCTATCCCTAATCCTAATCCTAAGGTTAACCCTAAACCTCATTCTTAAAAGCCAGAACCCTACCTTACAGTATGGATTTGCAGGAAAAGTACCTGGTAAATAAGTAGAGTACTGTATCTATGCTCTCCAAGTCTAAAAAGGCAGGCATGATTGGATTTGGAAGGGTGTTTCATAGCATTCTCTGTGTGTGTGATCAGTTCTTGAAGGTCAAACTTCAAAAGACCTTGTTTTTGGTTATGATACTTTAACTTCGCTGCTTTAAGCTGTCAAATTTCAGTAGAAATGTTGTCGTTTTTGCGAGATAAGGTTGTTAGCTTCACGTCTAGCCTCTTTTCAGGGCTTATTACTGGCTAGATAATGTTTCGGAGTGCGTCGGCCGGAAATCGAACCCTGACCACCCACGTTAATGGCAAGCATTCTTGCATTTCTGTTGTCAGCATTGTCAGTTGTGTTACCTATAGACTGTGATCAAAAATGGTGTCAAAATTATATTGGTACATATTATTTAAGAAGTTCCTAGTAGCTATCAGCTAAAGCTTGTGTATTATTTCCAATTTGTAGAAAGACTGTCAATCGATTAGGGGTAAAGTGATCAACAAACTTAATCATTTCACTCATTATCTGTAAACTAGGAGTTGGTGCAGCCCAGTCCTGCAGCATCATGTCACACTGAACAATGGTAAATATACCAAGATTTCCCTACTCTAGGTGTTCAGAAGATTCTGTATTTTGTCAGTGTTTCCCTGGTAACAAATCAACCCCTCAGTCGCTGAAGTTGATTCAGGCCACATCCACCAGTACATCTCTGATGAAACTTAGCAAAATTAGAGACAGTACTTCCAGGTTTTGCAGTGATTTTCTAACCGATGTCAGCCCATGATGAAATCCTGTGAGCAATCAATCAAATCCCTCCAAACCAATACTTGAAGACACAAGACATCCTTGACGCATACCACAGGTTCGAGTCTCAAAAATATTATGAACCATCGTTTTCTTTAAGCTTACTTACATTTATTCATAATAACGTTATTAGCAGCTGTCCAAGACGACTGTCAAATAAAATAAGCTCTTTTTTCTAATCATGCATATGTATTCCCCCTTTCCGTGGGTAAATTGATCAAGGAAACACAGTGTATGAATTTCTGGTCTTGGACAACTTCATAAAATCAATCTATACGAAAAATTAACTTGATTATTATAATTTCTGTTTCAAGTTTAGCTGATTATTGTGTTCTCTAAGTTGGTTGATTTAATTGTGAAGCTTTCGTTCTCCTTCTAGACAAAAATCTTCCTTCAGCTCAGGTTTTAGTATAAAATGGACTTATTTAAATTCTCCATGAATGATGTAATTGTATCTCCTGACAACCACTGTCGTGACCGGTTGTTAATTTACGTCTCTACTGATCATTTTTATAGACTAGGAATTCGGACTTTCTTGTCATGTGTGATTTACTTTCTATTAGCTGATAAATTTGGTCTGTAGTAATTAGTGTGTTTGTTAATTGCTAATTCCCTTGAGTGCCAGGCTTCTGGGAATTCTCTGGCACTTTTGGTGTTTCCTCTGTTTAAAATTTCCACATTATCCCAATCAAATTGGTGTCCATAATTATCCATATGCATTGATACGAAAGAATATAAACCATGTTATTTTACAGACAATTTGTGTTCTTGGATTTGGGATCGTAGGAGACGGTCACTGTGGCTGATGTAACGTCTATTGCAGTTCATATAGTTTATTGTGTAAATGCTATTAATTTCATCTTCTTTTTTCTATCGGATAAAGATTGGTTTACACAACATCGCATGAAGTGATTTTTCTGGCTGGCTTGTGTGCTGTATCTACTTCAAATAGTCCTAATATTGTAGCTGTTATTTCAGAGATTTTTTTATATATGGTAGGATGAATTTTCTTGTTGTCTTTGATGATGGTTTCTTGTTGGTGATATGACTCGAGTTTAAACACTTTTTGATGAAATTGTGAGGATATCCATTCTTTTTGAAGACGGTTAGCGGGTATTTTTCTTCCATTCTCTTCAACACTAGAGTGATACTGTGTGTTTGAACTCTTTTAAACAATGCCTGCACACAATTTCGGGATATTACTACTATAGTTGAGTATTTGGTCTGTGTAAGTTGATTTTCTATATACTTGTGTTTCTAAATTTCTTGTGTTAGTTCTCCTGATTAACACATCTAAAAATGGGATTTCGTTGTCTAATTCTTCTTCTCCTGTGAATATGATGACCGAATTTATCATCTAATAGAAAGTAAATCACACACGACAAGAAAGTTCGAATTCCAAGTGAATAAAAGCGATCAATAGAGACATAAATTAACAACCGGTCACGACAGTGGTTGTCAGGAGATTACATTACATTACATTATTCATGGAGGATTTAAATAAGTCCATTTTTATACTAAAACCTGAGCTGAAGGAAGATGTTGTCTAGAAGGAGAACGAAAGCTTCACAATTAAATCAACCAGCTTAGAGAACACAACTAATTCAAATTCATCCACCTGATTATTGTTTATTAAGTGAAGGAATGTTTAAAGACAATAATTGTTTATTTCAGAAAAAAAGTGTTTTTGTCAAAATGTGTTTTGGAAGCAAACAGTTACATTTACACCAAACAACAGTTTCTTATTTATATCATTTATTATTTTTGAATCTTAACCTTTGGTGCACCTTGGATTTGAACTGTTGTGTAAAAGAGATTACCACAAGAAAGAATAAAAAGTTAAAAATCTATGCAATTGATGAAAAGTATACTAAAAAGTCTATTCACTTCTATTTTCATGCTAAGACAAACTGGAATCTTTCAATTCACAATCACCTATTCCACTGGATAATGAACTTTTGGAAGCCTGTAGAAAATTCAATTTCGACGACTATACTGAATCCCAAGCTGTTTATCTTACTACGCATATTGAAGATGTTATTACCAAATGGAGTCCTGGTATGTTGTGTAACATTATGCTATTGGTGTTCGTTAATTTGTTAATCAAATTCATCTACTTTTACCCATCATTTATATGATTCTGTTATAGTGTAGTATAGTGCTCAAGTTCCGTTTCCGTGGCATTTGTTTGCTTTCTTTTTTGTGGAGTGTCTGACATGTCTTAGGAAATATACATTTTGTATCAGTGATACGTATTAAATTTATTTTCCAGTAATATATCCGTTTTGCAAGAGATCCTTTAAACTTCGTAATAAACTCCAGGGGCTTAATCGTTATTGAGTCATAGTTTTCCTTTTGTATGATTTCATTCGTGATTTAGTTTTTCTGATAAACTTGTCTGCCATACTTCTGGTTTTAGTCACTGAAGTATTTCAACATGTCAATCTTTATGGGTATGGAAATGGAGAGTCTGTCAGTCGAGGGAAATGTGATAGTTTGCCATGTGTGTACGGGTGTCGAACTAAATATCTTTCAAATCGCATTATAATTGAGTAACCCAGTCATCCTAGCCTCATAATACATTCACAATTTCATCGAATGACTCACATTTTGTTCGTATTAAATGGTTGGAAGCAATCGGCAGGAAGCCTTGGACCTAGGTTTCGTGCTAGTTGGCACTCATCAGCGCAAGGTGTATCTGCAAGGCTTCCTTCCGATTGCCTCCAACCATCTAGTGCCAACAATTCATAGTGCACCGTGATGGCGAGCCACCTAGCATGGTGGCCACATTGCAAGCTTGACTGATAGAATTCAGTCTGCACCGAAGATAGGACTAGATGCATTACACTAGTTACTGATTAGTGTCCAATTAAAAAAAAGACTCACATTTTGTCCAACTGCACATCAACTCTCGTGATTACCTATTTAGTATTTACACACTAGGAAGGTGATTTGGTTATAATGGTTGGTTTTATTTAAATTTATTTGTATTTAAATCAACTTTCTTCTTACAAGTTTGCAATTCTCGTTTACTTTTTTAGATGTGGTATTTCCCTTACTGGATATTCTACGTTGTTTAGTTTTTTGGCCTGCGTGCAGTGATTCCATATTTGAAACAACAAATTGGCATAATTTACTTGCCATTAGTTTAGATAAACCGGAATTATCAAGTGCAAATTGCTTACTGGTATTACGCCTGTTAGCAAATTGTTTATCTGCAGATGGACCAAGATTTTTAGACATAGTCCGTCATCAGTCTAACACTTCACCAGTATCATCGGATAATATGCCAACTGTACCGAAGTCTTTAGGTGCTGCTTTGGGAGTTATGAATAAGTTAGCTGATCTTGTTAATGAAAATAAATTAGAGTTGGCAACACGTAAACAACACCAAGTAAGATTTCATACATGGATTTCGTCGTTACTTTTAGCTATTGGGCAACATTTTTATAAATATCCAGCCCCCATAGATGTGGCGAATTTCTAAACATGCTGCATAGTTTCTATAATTGAGTATACTCCTTATCCTTTTGTTAAGATTTTGTTATGAAGTGATACTGGATTGTGGCTGTTCGTCGAACTCGACTAGAATACGCCTTCAGAATACGACATTATAACCAAGTGATCAATTGGAATTGTATCTCCCATACTGAGGTAGACACAAAAGTCAAACTAAGGGAAGTGACGACCGGAACGACGATGACGACAGCAACAACAGCCGCAACCGCTTTTGTTAGTCGAAATATATGCTTTCTTATACTTGAAAATTCTCAGAAATTTAAAATACAAATAAATAAATCTGATTGATTAAAGCATAAATAAACGAATCAGAACTCTCCAGTAAGGTTGTCATGTCAGCACATGAAAAAGTGATAATGACTTCACGACTAACAAAGAATTTCGTCCATCCTAACAGATTTTGGTACGAGTAAGGAAGAATTGGCCGATTTCATTAACACTATTGGTATTAGAATGTAATGCCTGTTCTGTTCATCACGTCTTCATGGATTTAGGGTTACTTTTTTCATGACTAAGGATTCCAAATTCTTGTCAACCTTTTGGTATTAGAGTTGGCATGTTGGGAACACAACAAAAACTTGTTTCAGGATTTCATGATGAGCTGACATCAGTCAGAGATCCGCTGGAAAACTTGGGAGTACTGGACAGCCTGTTGTTTCGTTCAGGTTTCGCACTCTTCGTCGGTAGTCAAACACTGAGGTTCGAACCCAGGACCTTCTGGTTACAAGGCGAGCTCGTATGCCATTAAGCCACTGGGACCCGGTCCCATGGTCCCAACTTCTGCTAATTTATGATATGGCGCGGCCACTAGCTAATGTCATCGCTGGCTAGTATTTGTCCTCAACTTTTATTCAAAAGGTCCTGGGTTCGAAGTTCAGTGGGTGCTTGCTGTTAGAGTCCCAAACTAGGACGAAACAGCTGTCCAGTGAATGATGTAAATTGTTAATTCACCCTCCAGTTGTGATGACCAGTGGAAGATACGTTAATACGTGTGACAAAAATTCTTTTCAAAAACTAACACTTATCTAGTAACTTCAGCAAGAAAACAACCAAATACCTGAACTGTGCTTTTAATTTTCCATTTTTGCCTGAGCATAGTGAACAAACAGCATACGTGATAGTGAGAGTTAATCGAAATGGGTTACTGAATGAAAGTCAGTGACCGACACTTATTCCATATTGATTTAATAGAAAAGGTCATACAGTGAAACAGTATTGTTTAGTGGATGACTTTACTTTACTGTTCAACTATTATTGTTATTATTATTATTCCCTTGGGTTCTGAGTGGAACATAAAGCTTCAACAACACATCTCCACTTTGTTCTATTTTCTGCCATCCTATTCAGCTGGGTCCACGATTGCCCATAATTTCTCATCTCTTCCTCACACTATCTCCTCCATGTCACCCTCGCACCGACCATCCACTCGTCGCTTCCCATTTGGATTCCACTCGACCGATTGCCCGCATTGACCACAATGTCATTCTCTGGTTTCCTCAGTGTATGCCCAATTCATCTCCATTTTCTCCTACATATTTGTTGAACGATCGGCTCTTGGTTGGTTCGTTCTCAGTCAGAATTTCTTGTTACTAATTCTTTCTGACCGGTTTGCCATTTGATCCTCAGTATGGAGCCAGCTGTTGATAAAAGAAGTCTGAAGTAGGCTGTTGGAAATCCTTTTCGTGACACGTAGTGCAAGTTACTGACCCGTATAGGAGGACCGACTTGACATTGTTGTTGAAAATGCGAATCTTCTTCCTTATGCTGGCTGAGTGTAGAAGATTTCCAAACTGGTTTCAGGTTGATGAAGGCATACGTATCTTACCTTTCCGATTATGGTTGACTGGCTTTCACCTCTTATCTGTTCCGAATTCCTGTGGTTGAAAGGATGCTTCCTAGATAAGTGAAGGAGGTAACCTCTGTTAAATCTCTCCCGTTGATGGTGATTGGTGCTGGTTGTCGTTGTTGCTGATGTTGCTGTTCGTTGGTTATCTTCATCACCTCTATTTTCTCTGTTCACCTGCACTCCTGTCTTTTCAGCTTGACTCTTCTGCCAGTTTGTTGGTTTTCGCCTGCAAGTCTTCGAGTTTGATGATATTCGATAGTTGGAGGCAATCGGCAGGAAGCCTTGGACCTAGGTTTTGTGCTAGTTGGCACTCACCAGTCAGCAAGGCGCATCTGCAATCTTGAAGGAACTCGTGTCCCTTCTGAGATTCGAACCCGCGTCACCCAGTGCTGCAGTCAGAGACGTTACCACTGAGCTATTCGGGCTCGCGATTGACCTCCTGTAGGACTGCAGTGGGTATTTTGATTGGACACTAGTAACTAGTGTGACGTGTCTAGCCCTTTCTTTGGTGCAGACCGAATTCTATCAGTCAGGTTTTGCAATGTGGCCACCATTCTAGGTAGCTCGCCTTCATTGGTGCACACTGATTGGATGATATTAGATAGTTGGAGGCAATTGGCAGGAAGCCTTCGAGTTTGTGTGAAATTAGCCATATATCATTGACGCGCGAAATCCAGATTTTCTAGAGTCTTCTTATCGGTCAGTGCAACATATTCCTGTCTTCTCACTCCCCATACACAGTCTGATGCATAATCCAGTCCACCACAATTAACAATATCATCGGTGATAGTCTTGGGCAGCCTTGTCTCACTCCTGTATGCACTTCAAACGCCTCGCTGAGTTTCTTGTTTTGGATCACCTGACACGTGGCAGGCACTGTCATATAGTCAGCTGTTGAATGAGTTTCATAAAGATTTGGGGAACTCTTCGCCATAGTGTTGAAGTAGTTTCCAAATTACTTCTTGGTCAACGCTGTCTGTCGAAGGCCTTTTCGAAGTCGATGAAGTTGAGGTAGAGATAGGTTTGACTGCCATTCTATTCTTTGTTGCGTGATGATGATGCGTAGAGTTGCAATTCGATCAACACATGATTTGCCTTTTCTGAATCCAGCCAGCTTGTTTCGGTAATTGGTGGAGTTCTATTACCAGTGCTTCTTTTATTCTCTTCAGAAAGATGCGGCTTAGTGTTTTACTTGGCGTGGACAATAGCATTTTACTGTTCAAAGTTATATCAAATGTGACTTTATGCATCTGAAACTTGTTTTTCACAGTTCTAGTTCTTCTTTCTCTTTTTTAGTTATTTGATAAATAATACTGTTTCATTGTTTGACCTTTTTAATAAGCAAACTAATGTAGAATAAGTATCAGTTAATTGTCTTTCACAAAACCAGCTTGTTTAACCGGTCACAGTTACGTGAGCTGTTTACTGACGTTTTTTAGGCAGAAATGAAGAATTGAAATCACAGTTTAGGGGTTTGGCTTTTTTATTTGAAGATATTCATTATCATGTTATACGTTAATCGTAGGTAGCGCTGTGAAACTGAAAGTTTGGGTGAACACGAATATTATGGCATTAAATGTTTATGACACCGAAACATTCATTTAACATACTTCATGTTTTTACTTTCCTTTTTCAAGGTTGCATTGGCTACACTGCTGCATAATGTGTCTGTACTTATTCATCAAACAAAGACATGCTCTGTTGTATCGAATTTATTGCCTCAATTACGTTTTACACCCGGTGTCTGTGTTCGAATATGTTTCAGTTTGTTATCTCTTCCTGTGGACCATGGTAGTAGTGGTGTGACACAATTTCATCCTGAAGCTGTAAACTGTTTATTTTTGTGTCTTGGTAATTGTTTAACATCTGCTACTGCTGAAGTGAATATGACGGATGAACAAATAAAAGCAAAACGTGTTCGTGTTGTTGCTTCAGCTGTAACCGGTCTAAAAGGCGTGTCATCATCTAGTGTCGATGACAATGTAAATATTGACACAAATGTTGATGAATTTAAAGCCTGGGAATCAGCTCGTAAAATTATAACTTATTGGGTGACTACACCAACCGCTTGTCCTAAAGTTCGTGCTTGTGCTAGCCAAGTATTGTCAATTTTAGAGTGAACAGAAGTTTCAGTTTGACGAGAAACATATCTATTTTATTGGCAATACCACAATATGGATACCTTCGAAATATGGCTGATTTTGTGTGTAAATTTCCCGTTTGTCACAGTACACTGAGTGTAGTTATTTGGCTTGTTTAGTTTATGTAAAGACAAAGTAAACATTTTGTGGTTGATTTGCTGCAAAGCCGTCCTAATATTTCTGTTCTGTTTACCATTATCTGAAGTTTTTTGTATAATTGCAAATATACTATTTAATTTAGACATTACAGTTTGTTTTAAAAATATTCGTCTTCTCATCAGTATCATTTAGATCTATTGAAATATTGGAGAGTTTGAGGTATTTCACCTAATTTGTAATTCACTCTTTCTCGTTTGAATGCACTACCCGACCTTTCAAATGATTTAACTTATAGCGGTTAGGTTAAACAAATAGGAATGACAATCTTTATCTCAAGGTTTGTTTGATAAGAGTTTATTTATCGAATTAGAAACCGAGATGAAGTCGTAATTTGTTGTAAATTTATACTGACAATAGTTTCTAGGATGAGATTCAAGTTTAAGTACACATCATAAAAATGGCATATGGTCATCATCTCGGTTACTTCCAAAACATTACGGATATTTTGTAAAGTTACAACACTTCTCAGTCGATGTAGTCGAATACCGTTTTCACTTCAAGGAATATGATAAGTTTGTGTTCCAAAATCTGTCGAAAAATGAAGGTTTAGCCAATAAATCTTTATGGATCTGCAATCAACGTGGTTTACCCCAGTTCGTCTTTCCTTGTAGCTGTTTAGTTTTCTTTCTGCTATCTACCGTAAAATCGTAACTACTAGTGTGGCGTGTCTTATTGTGCGTCGGTGGCACAGTGGTTAGGACTCCCGCCGACCATGCACATGGTCCGGGGTTCGGTCCCCTGCCGGCGCACAACCGATATCTGTGGTCGGCCTGTAAATTTAGGCTACCGGTATCCATGCTGAAAATTCCATATTTGTACTGAAAATACGGTGTGGAATCAAGCTGTAATCAAAATAAAAATAAAAAGTAGTATATAGATGCAGATAAATGTGTATCATATGCAAGAATATCGAATACCGGAGATATAGATTTAATGGACGGTCAACGGTTCCACATCAAAACTGATCATAAGCCTCTACATTGACTGAAGACAACGAGAGACCGGTGTGGCAAATTGTTCCGGTGGAAGTTGCGCCTGCAGCAGTATGACTTCACGATGTTTTACTTTCCAGGGGAAGAAAATTTGCTGGCAGGTTTTTTATTTAGACTGGTAGGTGAAGTAGAGTTACCAGAAATCGCGTGTGGAGTACGTGTTTTGGAACAGAACCCACTAAGATTTGCCCCCAGTCAAATATCGAACCCTACCCTGAATACAGCGATATAGGTGATTACTGACGGAATAGAAGTGAATCAATTTACGGCTAAAAGAGAGCTAACCACGCTACTCAGGCAGAAGGACCCGTTGGGATTGAGCACCTACGGAGCCTTGACTTATCCAGAGGACGATGGAAGCTGTTTGGCGGTAATGCCTTAGTTCCTATGTCATGAAATGTGCGTCGGTGGCACAGTGGTTAGGACTCTCGCCGACCATGCGCATGGTCCGGGGTTCGATCCTCTGCCGGCCCACACCCGATATCTATGGTCGGCCTGAATTTGGGCTACCGATATCTATGCTGAAAATTCCACACTTGTACTGAAAATACGGTGTGGAATCAAGCTGTAAATCAAAATAAATAAATAAAAATAAAATAAGAATGCCACCAGCTAGCACATACAGGGGTAGCCAGAGTAATGCACTTCTTGAGACAAAGCATACACTGGCGACGTATGAGAGATACTTCACAATTTGTGCTGGGGTATCTGCAGTGCCATTTGATGAAATGAGATCAGTTCATACGACTGTCTTTTCAGTTTATTCCACTTACGGCAGTAGGTGATTATAATCCTCAGATGTTATGGGACCTTTCCCTCAAACATCCAGTGGCGTTCACTATCTCCCGGTGATGACGCAATACACTACACGATGGGTAGACGCCGTTGTGATTCTGGATCAACGCGTAAAGGCTATGACTGATGCAGTAGTTTGACATACAGCTGCAGACCACGGGATACCAAAGACAATACTGACAGGTTAGGGTCCTTGTTTTGCAAGTGGAGAAGTCTCGTCCCGTTTGCAACACCTGGGTATCAAGAGGATCAGAACAGTATTATATCATCCACAGATGAATGGTCTGATAGAGCGAAACAACTGTACACTGAAGGAGTGGCTGGCCTCGAGATGGGGTGACTGGGAGACAGCTTCCATTGGTTCTATTAGCACGTCATGCTTCCATCCAGGAAACCGTTTCATTTCGTGTATGGTAGGAAACCACGCTTAGCGATACATAACAAGACTTGGTCCCTTCACCAAGATTGGGATATGACGAGATTTCACAAACAGAAGAAAGACGCCGCGAAGTCTCAACGGAGAGAAAAAGTGGGATGCATAACTTCTGAGGTAGGCAATCAAGTAAAGTGTAGAGAAAGAAAGTACACTGTCGGATGTGGGCCAGGCTGACGGAAACTCCTTCCAAAGTGAGAGGACCATACTCTGTCACCGAGAGACGTGGTCTCGTTCGCGCCATCGGGAGAGGAGACAACCAGAAATGTGTTGACGCCATCCAACTCCAGAGATACAGTCGGATAAGCTAGCCGATAACAAGACGCAACATTAGTAGGTAGCACTGAGAAAGTTGGAGCAGCTCCACTCGAGACCATTTGATGTGGGTTAATGTGGCGTTTGCTAATGACAAGATTTATAAACAGTATATAGATGCAGATGTATGATATACAAGAATATCGAATAGCGGGAAAATGGATTCCTACTTTATCAATTTGTATATTATCATTTTTCGCAGAATTTCTTCCTAAAAACACATACTACTGTTTAGTAGTTGAAGTGATTGTGCAAAATCACTAGTGTGTCTGAACTAAGGTTGGTACCAAAATAATATTTAACTGATGATGGCTGGCAAGAGAATCCAGTATGCTCACTTGCGTATTGTCACCTGAATGTAAATCCATCTCCACTGAGTTGTTTCCCTGATATTCTCACTGAGACACAAACCCAATACCCCTCGTTTCAACTGCGAAAGTATTTTTAACTAGGTTACCTGGCTACGATAGCAACCTTTTGTGTGATGGGTATCAATTGTTAATTTTTATTTCCTGTCAGTTGATTATATCGGACCGAAACGGCTGGTCTCTGTGAACATTTCAACTACTAGTACTGGACGCTTCATTAATGTGTGAGTATTAATATGATGTAGTGTTAACTTAAACAAATAACGACTGATTCCCACTGCGCAAAATGCTGCTGTCATAGCTCAGTTGCATTTGCTTTAGAAACGATGGTTACTGGGTTCGAGTATCAGTGGCTTTATCGCCTGTCAGTCACTGAAGATGCAGTTACATTCAGCTGACAAGTTCCAGATATGAAGAAATGTGCATCTTGAATTCCAATACTAGCCACCACTGACCAAATGACGCTATGTCAATCTTCAGACATCGACGGAGCCTCCATAATAGAAGCTAACATGTCGTCAGAGATGCAGCGTTTTACTTCAGTCTAAACAATTAATGGGAAATACAAATTAACTTAAATCGAAAGTCCTGGACAAAGTAACTATGCATTGTCTATGAAATCATTCGTTACATATTAAAAATTATTGGATTATTATGTACTGCGAATGTTCTGACGTACAAATGCATTAAATGTAATGGATGTTAGTAATGTTTAGGGAACAAGGAACATTATATTTACTCTAAACACCTTATTGGAAGATGTGCAAGTGAAAAGCAAGAAGTTGGAAGAAGGAGCATCAAAGATAGAACTTCAGGTGAACATAGAGAAAACATAGGTGATTCAGATTCCTAGCCAACAGCAACAATCAGTATATATGGGAAGAATCTGATGGGCACTTCGATCAAACTACAGACTTTCATCAACAGCTGTCTTCGTTCAGTACTCAAGATCAGATGGCCAGAAAAGACCAGCAACAGGGATCTCTGGGAGCGAACCAACCAGGGACCGATTGTGCAACAAATAAGCAGGAAGAAATGGAGGTGGATTGGGCATACTCTGATAAAACAAGCCATCAAGTAACATCACTAGACAAGCGATTGCTCGAGTGGAGCTTAAAGGAGAAGCGGCGATTTGGTCATCAGTGCAAGGGTGACATGGAGGAGGTCATGCGAAGAGGAGATGAAAGTATGTGGGCAGACATGGAGCCAGGCGAAAACGTTGGCGGGCGTTAGTGTGCATCATTGATTCACAACGCTACTACTAAATTTTAAAAATATTGACAGGTATATTCTGAGAATTTGAGAGAGGTCTGTCATCATGTAATGATTCTTGTTTATTTGTGTTCAACTGTATCAAATGAAACAGGGCAATAAATATGGTAAATAAAGACATTAAAAACGCTTTTAATACAACAGTGGTGGTAAGCTTACAAGTTAAGATTTACTTACTATAGCTAGTTCTTTCCTAATGCTGAATAATGTGTGTTTTAAATTTTGAATTTGGTTGTACATGCACAAATACCACCGTTCTTGCTTCATGACTTTCGTAATGACTAATTAAAAGGAATATGTGAATGAAAAATTTGCTTATCATCTAATAAGATGATTTTAACCAGATAATTAGAAAGAACTAGACTGTGTATTCACAGCAGTGTTCATCAGCAACGAACAAGATGCACCGCTATTTTCATATACAACCTTCGAAATTATGTAGTATATATCACAGTCTGTTTTCAGTAGTGGGAGCAATCAAGAATTGCAGGTAAAACATGAAAGTCGGGAAAACCTCGAAATAGAAGCTAAGTGACCTTGAAAACTTGCAAATTCCTTGTATAAAATGTCAAACGAATATCTACTCTGAGATTAGCAGGACAACAAAGCCAAGATGAGGAATTGAACAAGAAAAATCATAAATGACTTTTCTCTAAATTGTAGAGCGGCAAACCATAAGCGACCTGGGACTGTAGATTTTCAAGTAACAAAAGTTGTTCATAATGCTTAATAATAATAATAATAGCTTTATTCCAAACAGTATTTGTGGTACAGGTATGGAATTTTCAGCGTGCATTACAATATTGCATCTAATTACCTCATAAATTTTATAAGATTTTAAAAATGAAAAGCAACAACAACAAAAGAAAAAGAGATAAATAAAAGAAATAAAAAAGAACAGCATTGTA